TATAAAACCCTTTGTTCTTAAAAAATATCAATTTGTTTGTAACAGGCAAATATAATCGAGATAGACCCATGGTTCCTTTGAGAATATGCATAGAATCACTTTCTGAGTCGATTTATGCATGTCCGTCCGTCCATGTATTTTTGTTAACAAAGTACAGGTCGCATTTATGAACCGATTTGGATGAAATTTGGCACAGGTCACTTAATTGGTCCAAGGACGAACCCTATTGAAATTGGGAAAAAATCGCTTCAGATTTAGATATAGCTCCCATATATATTTTCGTCCGATTTAAGGTAAATGGTGTACCAATGTCCCCATATATCTTTCGATTTGCACGAAATTTGCCATAGCGTAATGAATTAGGGTTAGAATGATGTGTGTTAAGTTTCCTGAAAATCGGTTCAGATTTAGATATAGCGCCCATATATATCTTCGTCCGATTTAAGGTAAATGGGGTACCAAAGTCCCTATATATCTTTTGATTTGCCCGAAATTTGGCATAGCGAAATGAATTAGGTCTAAAATGATGTGTGTTAATTTTCCTGAAAATCGGTTCAGATTTATATATAGCTCCCATATATATTTTCGTCGAATTAAGCTAAATGGTGTACCAAAGTCCCTATATATCTTTCGATTTGCACGATATTTTGCATATCGTACTTGATTAAGTCTAGAATAGTGCATGTTAAGTTTCGTGAAAATCGGTTTGGATTTACATATAGCTCCTATATAAATTTTGTCCGATTTAATGTAAATGGTGTACCAAAGTCTCTATACATATTTCGATTTGCATAAAAATTGGCATAGTGTACTGAAATGAGTCTGGAGTGATGTGTGTAAAGTTTCCTGATTTTTGTATGAATTGTGCACTAAAGACCCAAAGTTTGTCCGATTGCCACACAATTTTGTACAATAAACTGTAGTTAATATAAGTTAATCTCTACCATTCTCATTGAAATCGGTTCAGATTTTGATATAGCTTCTACATATATATTTTCGTCCGATTTTACACAAAATTGACACAAATTTTGCACTACGTACTAAAGTTTTGAAATGTGGAAAGTTTTGAAATCGGTTCAGATTTGGATAGAGCTTCTATATATATTTTCTCCTGAGTTTTGGTAATTTTGTCCCATTGTAAGAAGCAACCCTATATCTGAACAAATGAAAAATTTAGTATAGGTTGCAGAACTCGACGTCTGTTAGCATTCATCTGTTGAATATACCCAAAGTGGTGAAGGGTATCATATAGTCGGCCCGCCCGACTTTACTACTTTCCTTACTGGTTTTATATTATCTATAGGACTTTATTTAACATGCTTCGGAATGTCCATTTAGTTGTATGATATGTTGCCATAAAGGTAAGTTCATAATGCCTCTATCATAGCAGTCCTACTCACTATTTGCAAAAAACTCTAGTCGATTTTCACAATCCTCTCTAGATATCAGTTTTTTATCGTTAAAGAAATTATGCAATGCAAGAAAAAACTGATAATCGCTTGGTGCCAATTGCGGACTGTATGGCGGATGCATTGGAACTTCCCAACCAAGCTCCCGAAGTTTCTAGCAAGTCACTGAAGATGTCTATCGTTGTCCTGGTGAAACACGACACCTCTCCTGTTGGCCAATTCTTGCCGTTTCTGGTCAATTGGTACCTTCAAACGGCCCAGTTGTTGACAGTAGAGATCAGAATTTCACGTTTGGCCATATGGAAGCAGCTCATAATAAATAATCCCCTTCCATTCCCACCAAATTCATAGCAGAACCTTCCTGGCCGTTAGTCCTGGTTTGGCCACCGTTTGAGGTGCTTCATCGCTCTTTGAGCACTAAACGTGGACCTATATAGCCCATCTGCCTGCAGACAAAAGACGACTCTATGCAAAAATATATATACCTCATAGGTTTGGAAATTATTATTTCGATGAGTTAAAAATACCCTCCATACTATGGTGGAGGGTATAAAAATGTGAGCGTGAGCAAATCGAGATGTACAGAAATCAGAATGAAGTCCGGAAATTTTACCAACTAGTAAAATACCAAACGGAAGGCTTTGGTGCAGGCACTTACTCCTGTAGAGATGATGAAGAAAACCTGGTAACAGATACAAATAGCGTGTTGAGGATCTGGAAGGAGCATTTTGCAAAGCTTTTGGTATCAAATAGTAGCGGTGAAGAAGATACCCCAGAACTAATGAGAGATAACGGTATAGATTGTATACCCCCTAGCCAAGCAGAATATCAATTAATCTTAAGAATAATAAAGCAGCAGGTACCGATAGATTACCAACCGAACTATTCAAGACCAACTAATTAGTACAATTTGGCTAGAGGAATGCATTCCCAATGATTGAAACCTCAGAATTCTGTGTCCGGGCATAAAAAAGGAGACAATACGATGTGTGCCAACTATAGAATAATTAGTCTCCTTCCCATCTCATTTGAGGGGACCCCCCCATTCTCGGGGTCAATTTTTTTTTTTTGATTTAATTCGAATCTACACTAATTCAAGAATGTCCCTACAACATCTCAAGTGAATATCTCAAGAATTCTTGAAGAATGGCGGGCACGATAACTCAAAAACTAATAACCCAATCGATTCCAAATTTTTACACATTTCTCTGTGAGTGTATAGCTATCGTATGAACAAGGATAAAGCCAATCGGTGAAGATCTTCCTACACAACTATGTTGTCAGGGTATTATAGCTTTGGCAGCCCCAAGAGTTTGTAACGCAGCGAAATATTGGTCCTAGACCCACCTTTAAATATACCGATCGTCATATCTCGACTAGCTGAGTCGATCTAGACATGTGTGTCCGTCCGTCCGTCTGTCCATTATAATTTGTAAACACGATACAGGCAACAGTTATGGACCAATCTTCACCAAAATTTGCATGGAGAATAGGTTCGGCCTAATGAAGGCCCCTATTGTTTTTGGTAAAGGTCGGATAATATTTAAGGGATGAAATGGACCAAATACTTAATTTTTGTCGGTTTTTCTGGTAGCTCCAGAGGCCGCAGTTATGGTCCGAACATCGTGAAATTTTACATGGAGAAGAGGATCGTGCCAAAGAATAAGCATTCCTGTTTTGATAAAGATCGGTCAATATTTAGCGCATCAAATGGACCCTGACGTTTGTGTGAAAAATTACAAAATTTTTATTCTGGGGCGTATATACTTACTCCTGAAGGCAATTGAGCCGAGAAGTTAATAGTATATCCAAGAGGAGTTGTTGACCTTCAAATTGATACCAAACTTATGGTATGTCGCGCTGATAGCTTTGAAATTGTACATGATCTTCCGATTATGGTCAATGACGACGCCTATAGTTTTCGGTGAAGTTGAGATGTCATTCAGCGGAGTGCAATGAGCGGAAAACTTTAATTTTGTGAGATTTTCTAGTCGCTCTAGAGGCAATTATTATATGCAGAACATCACATATTTTACAAGATGAAGGGGATCTGACCAAATATTTAGAGCGGCTGTTTAGATGATGATCGGTCAATCAAACCGTAAAAATTAACTTCAAGAAAAAAATTGGAAAATATGCCAGGGTTAGAAAGTGAAGTTGTTGATCTATAATCGGTAAAAAAGGGTGCAAATATCTCGAAATATTGTCCAGGCGCAGAATATAGAACCGCAGAAAGTTTGATTTTCGTGGTAGTTGTGTAGGGTATCATATGGTCGGCCCCGTCCGACTATACTGCTCCGCTCACTGGTTTAACTTGGTTTTTGGTCAAAAATCGGTGATTTTCCAAAAATATTTTTTCAAAGGTCCGCCATTTTGTTAATTTAAGTCAATAATCCTAGTTCATACGAGAGCCAGACATGTACTCTTTCTAACACCGTTGGAATTTTCGGATTCCGATGTTCCAGTGAGGAGTTATCATGCCCTCCATCAAAAATAAGGACTTTTCTTTAATTACAAAAAACAACAACAAGACAACAACAAAAATGTTTTGTAAATTAAAAATTGACCTATATTTATAATTTTTAGTGTAGAGATTTGCTACCCAATAAGAACTCAAAGAACTAAATTACAGCCAATTCGGTCGAAAATGCGTTCAAAACCCCCAAATTCCTGAAAATTTGAGGTTACCGTTATATGGGGGCTATCAGAGAAAGTTGTCCGATATTTATAATTTTTAGTGGAGATGTTTGGTACCCAATAAGAATCCAATATACCAAATTTCAGCGAATTCGGTTGAAAAACGCGATCAAGAATCCCAAAATACCCAAAATTTGTGGTAACCCTTATATGGGAGCTATGGCTAAACGTGGACCGATATCGACCTGCCTGCAGACAAAGGACGACTCTATACAACATTTTGGCGATCTATATCAATTCGTGATTACAACAGACGGACATACTTAGACTTACAAACGGAAAAACAAAATTCATATACCGTCGCTCATTTAATTGCTGTAGCTAGAGCCGAATTATTCGTTAAAAGTTTTGCGAGGAAAAATTCGGTATGAAAATGTTGCTAATACTTTTGAAATTCCGAAGTCTGAACAATCGCTTAATGGAGGTCATGCTCTGGGAAAATTTAATTTTTTTTTCGGTAGAGGTTTTAGGTAGGGTCCTCGAAAGTAATTGACATTTGTGTGTTTTATTTGTCCGTTTTAAAGTTTTTATCCTGCCTTAGAAAACATATTTAAATAAACTATTTCTGGAAGGACCTATGTAAAAAGTTTTCGGAACGGAGGTATATAAATTAGAGACACATTGGTATAAAAATACGGCGTGGAGCACAATAATGCATTGATGATTGAAAAGGACGTTGTGGTATACAGACCCACGGACATTTTATGAAGTAACTGTGATCGGAGATTTTTCAACTCCCAAAATTTGGGATCTTTTCTAAAGGAAAGGTGGTCAGTGGCCAAGATGCCCTCTATTTTCTTCAAGAGATCAATGTCCTCATTTTATTATCAAATGAAATATTTTTTTTAAAGAAATAATTTATTCTAAAATATCCTTTTACCTTCCCCTTTTCAGATGGCCACCAAGGCACAACAATTACAGGCAATGTTCGCCCGGCGACGTGAAATGGAACACATGCACATCGAACGCACCCAGGCCGTGAATAAATACTACGATCATTGGGGTAAGGTGACATCACGTTTTGAAAATTGGACCACACCTGAATATTATAAACAGGCTGAGGAAAAATTGCAACGCGACAAAGAAGAAAAACAGAAACAAAAACAATTGGAAGAACGTCGTAAAAAATTAGCAGAACTTTTAGAAAACGAACAAGAACAATATAATGCAGAGCTAAAAGATAGACAACGTAATCGCAAAGTTCGGTCAGTGAGCACCACAACATTGGAAAAAATCAATGACAATTTGAAAGAACAACAGGCGATACGACGTAAATTGGAATTGGAGGCAAAGCTCTACGGTAAATGGCGTCATGGTGTGGATGATGAAAATCTGATTTTCGAATCGAAAAGTGATCATGAGGTGATTGCGAAACTAAATTGGCTGGACAAACAGGTGGAGAATCAGTTGGAACGGGAAAAAGAAGAGATGGAAAATCGTGAACGTAATCTACGGCTTCAAGCTGAACAAAATCGTGCCGAAGAGCTGCACAAGCAACGTCAGGAAATACGTCAAAGGGAAATAGAAGAGATCCGTGCCCTGCAGGAGACTCATATGGAACAATTGCAGGAACATCAGAAAGAATGTGAGCATCTCAAGGAGGCGGAACAAAAAATCCGCGAAAATATTGAAGAATTGGAAAAGGAATTAGAGCTGCTCGATGAAAGCTATGCAGTTCTGCAACAACCTTCCAATTTTGGTGGTGCCTACAATTTAACTAAAATTAAAGTTTTTATGCGTAAACGTTCCGAGGTCTATCGTAATCACATTAAATTGTGTATTTGCATTTTAGAACGCACCTCCGCCTATGCTTCCAAATCAGATAACCTGCTAGAGCTTAAAAAGAAACTTAGTCAAAAATTGGATTCCGAAATGTATACCCTAACACAAATTGATGGCATGTATGAATCAGAAGCGAAATATAATCTCCATCGTTGTGAAGAACTGTGGCAATCACAGGCCGCGGAACGTTATAAGGAACTTAAGGATGCTCTGAATATGGAACGTAATTCCAAGGGTAAACTGTTAAATGATACTTTGGAACGTCAAAATGAATTGCTGGATATACGCACAACTCATCTCAATGCCATTGAGAGTACCAGCGAAAAATTGAAACAACTTATAAAGGAACAAGAAGAATCTCCTCGTGGTGTGCTATGTGTCTGTACACCAAGAAGTGCAGATGAGGAGGATGCAAAGAAATCTGCCGACTCTACACCAAGAAGTTGTCAATTAAATCTTCCTTCCTCTAGATTTGTTAGACCACAATCTTGTCAGACCACTGCCTCAAGGGTAGATTCTTATCACAAAGATGGAGATAATTCGGGAAATCGTTATGTCGATAACATTTCGAAAACATTCCGTGATCTTAATCTGGATGTGTGGGAGACAATGGCACCATCACCCCGCGAATTGGATAATCAACGTCTGGAGGCCCAACGTCCACTGCGTGTGGTGACAGCTGATACTGCTGAAAGGCCTCGATTTGGTCGAAAACGTGTTGCCTGGACTTAGAGTAGATTTTAATTTTTGTATTTTGTTTATAATTACAAAATATATTTTGGAATAAATAAAAAAATGGAATAATATATGTTCAAAAATAATTGAATAGATCAATTGGCGCATATTTGTTGTTAAGCACGTGTAAGGTAAATGGCATAGGTAGTTCTGAATTACATATCTTGGAAGGAAGGAAGCTTTAAAAATATCGAAATTTAAACTAGGATATGACAAAGGACTATGACAAAACATAAAAAATGCTGTAGGTACTCGGACTGTCATAATACACAAACTTCAGTTAAAACTGAAGTACTGAAATTCGAGCTGGACTATGTTAAAACATGTGCTATACAGAACATGATGAACTAGAACTAGATGAATGCCAAATTACAGTCCTATGGGTAAACAATATAGCTAAAGGGAAAGAGGACGGTATTGGGGCTGTAGCAAAACGGGGACAAATATCAACCAATTTTCATATTCATAAATCGCAATATTATAAAATTAAAGCATACTTTTAGGCAAAAACTAATTTCACCAATAATTTTTCTTATAGTAATTATTACACCATATTTTAGGGAGGCGAGTCGTTTTAATAATCATAGGGTGATTCGTATGTTTACATTTTTCATGTGTAATTATTTTGTATACCCTTCACCAAACCAATATGAGATAGCTCATGAAGTGTTTGAGAGAAAAATTCTCCTAAAGATTTATGGGCCGATCTGCGTTGACGGTGAATATCGTCGTCGAATGAACCATGAGTTGTACCAGCTATTCTCGGACATCGATATTGTTAGACGTATTGAGCTGCAGCGACTACGTTGGCTAGACAATGTCGTGAGAATGGATGAAGATGCCACAGCCCAGAAGGCATATAAAAGCGAACCAGCTGATGGTTCAAGCAGAAGGGGAAGGCCAAGAATACGATGGAAAGATCAAGTCGAGGACAACATTGCCGAAAATGGTCTTTCAAAGTAGAAAAAACTGCACAAAAGACCGACGCGCCTGGAAATCTGTTCTAAACTCGGCTTATGGAACGAAAGTTTTGTCACAACCCACCTACAGGTGGTACAGGGTCTTATGTCTTTAGGCATATGTTTGTAACAGGCAAAAGGAAACGAGATAGACACAAGGTTCCTTTTAAGAATATGCATAGAATTACTTTCTAAATCGATTTATGCATGTCCGTCTGATTGTCTGCCCATGTTAAATTGTAAACAAAGTATAGATCGCATTTATGATCCGAATTGGATGAAATTTGGCACATCTCGTCTATTTGGCCCAAGTACGAATCCTATAGAAATTGGGAAAAATATGTTCAGATTTAGATATAGCTCCCACATATATGTTCGACCGATTTAATGTAAGTGGTTCACCAAAGTCCCTATATATCTTTCGATTTACACGAAATTTGGCAAAACGAACTGAATTGTCTTGAATGATGTGTGTTAAGTTTCGTGAAAATCGGTTCAGATTTAGATATAGCTCCCATATATTTAAGGTAAATAGTGCACCAAAGACCCTAAATAACTTTCGATTTAGACGAAATTTGGTACAGCGCACTGAATTAAGCCTAGAATGATGTGTGCTAAGTTTCGTGGAAATCGGTTCAGATTTAGATATAGCTGCCATATATATTTTCGTCCGATTTAAGGTAAATGGTGCACCAAAGTCCCTATATATCTTTCGATTTGCACGAAATTTTATATAGCCTACTGAATTAGGTCCAAACTGATATGTGCTAAATTTCGCAGAGATCGGTTTAGATTTAGATATAGCTCCCATATATAGTTTCGCCCGATTTTAGGTAAATGGTGGACCAAAGCCCCTGAAAATCATTCGAATTGCACGAATTTTGGCATAGCGTACTGGATTAAGTCTAGAATAACGTATGTTAAGTTTCGTGGAAATCGGTTCAGATTTGGATATAGCTCCCATATATAGTTTCGCCCGATTTTAGGTAAATGGTATACCAAAGTCCCGAAATTTGACATAGCACGAAATTTGATATAGCCCACTGAATTAGGTCTAGAATGATGTATGCTAAGTTTCGCGGAAATCGGTTCAGATTTGGATATAGCTCCCATATATAGTTTCGCCCGATTTTAGGTAAATGGTGGACCAAAGCCCCTGAAAATCATTCGATTTGCACGAATTTTGGCATAGCGTACTGGATTAAGTCTAGAATAACGTATGTTAAGTTTCGTGAAAATCGGTTCAGATTTGGATATAGCTCCGATATATAGCTTCGCCCGATTTTAGGTAAATGGTGTACCAAAGTCCCGAAATTTGATATAGCCCACTGAATTAGGTCTAGAATGATGTATGCTAAGTTTCGTGGAAATCGGTTCAGATTTGGATATAGCTCCCATATATAGTTTCGCCCGATTTTAGGTAAATGGTGTTCCAAAGTCCCTATATATCTTTCGATTTGCATGAAATTTGATATAACTTACTGAATTAAGTCCAGAATGATGTATGCTAAGTTTCGCGGAAATCGGTTCAGATTTGGATATAGCTCCCATATATAGTTTCGCCCGATTTTAGGTAAATGGTGTTCCAAAGTCCCTATATATCTTTCGATTTGCATGAAATTTGATATAACTTACTGAAGTCCAGAATTATGTGTGCTAAGTTTCGCGGAGATCGGTTTAGATTTAGATATAGCTCTCATATATAGTTTAAGGTAAATGGAGCACCAAAGTCCCTATATATCATTCGATTTGCACGAAATTAGGCATAGAGTACTGAATTAGGTCCAGAATGATGTGTGCTAAGTTTCGTGAAAATCGGTCCAGATTTAGATATAGCTCCCATATGTATCCGATTTAAAGTAAATGGGTCTCCAAAGTCACAAATATCTTTCGATTTCCACGAAATTTGAACGATATGTGTTAAATTTCGTGAAAATCGGATTAGATTTAGATATAGCTCCCACATATATTTTCGTCTGATTTAATGTAAATGGTGTACCAAAGTCCCTATATGTCTTTCGATTTCCACGAATTTTGGCATATCGTAATGATTTGTCTAAAATGATGTGTGTTTAGTTTCGTGAAAATCGATCGAGATTTAGATATAGCTCCCATATATATCCGATTTAATGTAAAATGTGTCGTCCGATTTTACACAAAATTGACACAAATTTTGCACAACGTACTGGAGTTAGAATAACCTAGAAGTTGGATATAAATGCTTCACCAAGGTGGGTCCAATCGGCACAAAATTTTGCACTACGTACTGAAGTTACTATAACATAATGTGTGGCAAGTTTAGTTGAAATCAGATTTAAATTGATTTACATAATCTTGTCCCTGGTCCTTCAAAAATTTGACGTCTGTTAGGATTCAATCGTTGGATATACCCAACGTGGGGAAGGGTATCATATAGTCGGCCCCGTCCGACTTTACTACTTTCCCCTTACTGGTTTTAAAATATTACTGATCCCCACTCGTGTTCTGGTTATACCCTACACAACTATGCTGTCAGGGTATTATAGCTTTGTGCAGCCCCAAAAGTTTGTAACGCCGCGAAATATTGGTCCTAGACCCACCTTTAAGTATACCTATCGTCATATCTCGACTAGCTGAGTCGATCTAGACATGTGTGTCCGTCCGTCCGTCTGTCCATTATAATTTGTAAACACGATACAGGCCACATTTATGGACCAATCTTCACGAAATTTTGCATGTAGGTTGGGTTCTGGCCAATGAAGACAATGGGAAAGATCGGTTAAAATTTAGGGGATAAAATGGACCAAGTACTAAATTTTTGTCGTTTTTTCTGGTCGCTCCAGAGGCCGCATTAATGGCCCGAACATTGTGAAATAATGGTCTGTCTTCATAAAGATCGGTCAATATTTAGCGGGTCAAATGGACCCTGACTTTTGTGTGAAAAATGACAACATTTGTAGTCTGTAGCGTATATATTTACCCATGAAGGACGAAAAGTTTATATTTTATCCAAGAGGAGTGGTTGACCTTTAAATTAATACCAATTATATTGTTGTATGTGCTCGGATGTGGGAGTTACACGTAAATATTTACAGGTATCTTCGTATTCGTATATTATTTAGTAACCCATTATCACTCTAGAGAGCGGAACTATAGCGCTGATCGCTTTGAAATGTTCCATGAGGTTTCTGTTATGGTCAAGAACAACGACTATAATTTTCGGCGATGATCAGATAATAATTTTGGATTGAAGTGGGCCGAAAACTTAATTTTTTGTGTTATTTTCGAGTCGATCTGTAGACCACAAATGAAAGCCGAACATCACAACACAACCCACGGTGAAGGGAATGTGGACAATAGCTGTACTGAATACTCGTAATATTTGGAAAATATGTCAGTGTGAGGAAGAGGTGCTGTTTACCTCTAACCGGGCAAGAGGGTGCAAATATCACGAAATATTGCCAGGCTCGGAATAAACATCCACAGAAAATTTGAGTTCCGTGGTAGTTGTGTAGGGTATCGTATGGTCGGCCCCGTCAGACTATACTGCTCCGCTCACTGGTTAAAATAACATTATTTTGAATTTAAATTGAAACTTTGTTATGCATAGAATGCAAACGCAACATATTTGTACATAGTTTTTTTAGGATGTGTTACATTTCCGCCGATACAACACTTCCTGTCAGTGAGTTCGTGTTTTTATTTTTTTTTATTTTTCATCCAATGTTGAAATCAGTGAATATTTCCACTATTATTCATTACTTCGTTATGTGATAAATTCCAATTTAATTAAGACCTCTTGCTGAAGCCGATATTTTGTTGTTATAACGGCCTACTCAACTCAAATGCAGCGAGGCGCATAAACACAAAATGTTAGGACACCAACTAAAAAACAACAAAAACAGCGACAGGCTGGCAAGCTGCGTGAAAAAATAAACAAAATCAACTAACCAAAAACCGAGTGAGCCTGCACTTGGTATATTTTGTTAGCGTTGCACAATTACTGCAGATGAATGTTTGCTGAGAAGTGTCGAAATTGTGTGAGGTTGCAAAGGGTAG